TTTTGTGGCAGTTTTAGTTTTACAGAGAAATCGAGCAAAAAGTACAGATAGTTCCCATTACCCCCTCTATATATAGTTTTGTGGTACATTTTTTTTTTTTGTCTTTTTCCGTGTCCGGCAACGGATCGCAACCCTCAGTGTTGCCCCCGTACCGGACCGGGGACTGGCAACGGGATTGCAACCCTCGGTGTTGCTCCCGCACCTCGCTCAGCCAGTGAGCGGGAACCGGTCTGTATGTGGGATCCGAACCCTCGGGCGGGAGCGCCGCCGCGCTTCCCAAGCTGCGCACTTATCCAGTGCGCCACCGGGCCGGCCCTTGTGGTACATTTGTTACAATTATGAATCAATATTGATAAGTTATTATTAACTTAATTTTATATTAGAGTTCCCTCTTTGTATTGTACAGCTCTGTGGGTTTTGCTTAATATATAATGTCGTGTTCACCATTATCGTGTCCTACAGAATAGTTTTTCTGCCCTAAAAAGCCTCTGTGCTCCACCTATATTCAATCTTATATATTTAGCCCAGGCTTATATATAGCTCATGTGTATTGAATTTGACTTTTAAAAATTCTAAAATTTATTAAACTTAGGTACTATTCCAGTTGCTTTCCATGTATCTATAAAGTAGGTCCATTATTATCCCCATTTTACAGGTAAGGAGACTGAAGCACAAAATGGTTAAGTAACTTGGGAAAGTCTCGCAACATATAAATGGCATATTCAGATATTGAACCCAGACTGCTTAGTACGATGAGTATCTAACTAAGTGTAAGTGTTAAAAAGCATCAGAGACAGAAGGAAAGCTCCTCAGTAGCTTATTGAATAAGTAGGCTCTTTGATTTTCTGTTTTTTTACATAATTCTTCTATTTAGATGCTCGAGTCAAATGGAGAGAACTAAAATAAAAACCTTTTTAAGCATATAAACTGTACTGTTAATACTAAGCAGATAATGTTACAGCGCTGGATCTGTAGTAGGAACTGGGAAATACCTACTTGAATACGTAGGTGATTGCTGCCTAAATTTATGGATGTATCCTTTATATGGTCCAACGTCAGTTTTTGCATATCCTGAAGGCACAGACCCTGGACTTTGGTGTTATCAGCACCACACTAACCAGCCGAACTGGCCAGCCCTACAGCCCTAGCCTTGTTTTTTAAAAGCTGCTAATTACAGCATTGGTACATATAGTGATTAATACCTCTTCCCAGCTTCTGGTGCAGCTAGTCAGTCATATTTTAAAACAGCCAGTTGTTTCGTGCTTGGGATCTGGACTGCAGCCTTTGAAGTTATGCTTCAGTGTATCTTAAAAACATTTCCTTAGGTACCTGCTGATTACTGGCCTCAGTTTGTCCTGGTGAAGGCTTTTGGACTCGATTGT